GAGTGAGTGAGAGTGAGAGTGAGAGTGAGAGTGAGAGTTGAGAGTGAGAGTGAGAGTGAGAGTGAGAGTGAGAGTGAGAGTGAGAGTGAAGAGTGAGAGTGAGAGTGAGAGTGAGTGAGTGAGTGAGTGAAGTGAGTGAGTGAGTGAGTGAGTGATGTGTGTGTGTGTGTGTGTGTGTGTGTGTGTGTGTGTGTGTGTGTGTGTGTGGGTCTAGTTGAGTGGAGTGAGTGAGTGAGTGAGTGAGTTGAGTGAGTTGAAGTGAGTGAGTGAGTGTCTGTCCTGTCTGTCTGTCTGTCTGTCTGTCTGTCTGTCTGTCCGGTCTGTCTGTCTGTCTGTCTGTCTGTCTGTCTGTCTGTCCTGTCTGTCTGTCTGTCTGTCTTCTGGTCTGTCGAGTGAGTGAGTGAGTGAGTGAGTGTGATGGAGAGGGAGAGGAGAGGAAGGAGAGGGAGAGGGAGAGAGGAGAGAGGAGAGAGAGGTGAGAAGGAGAGAGCAGGGAGAAGAGAGAGAGAGGAGGAGAGGGAGCGGAAGAGAGAGGGAGAAGGAGAGAGAGGGAGAAGGAAGAGAGGAGAATAGAGAGAGGAGAGGAGAAGAAGAAGGAGAGAGAGAGAAAGAGAGAGAGGAGAAGAGAGAGAGAGGGAGAAGGAGAGAGAGGGAGAAGGAGAGAGAGAGGGAGAGAGGAGCAGAGGAGAGGGAGAGAGAGAGACGAGGGGAAGAGAGGAGAGAGGGGGAGAAGGAGAGAGAGGGAAAAGAGAGGAGAAGAGGATGAGAAGAGGGAGAAGAGAGAGAAGAGGGAGAGAGCGAGAGGGAGATAAAAGTAGATGTAGAACATAGAATAAAGATAGAAATACGATAGATATAGAGATTGAGATAGTAGATATAGAAATAGGGATAAAAGATAGAAATGGCGATAGTTATGTAGATTGTGATGATAATAGAGATACAGATAGGAATAGAGATGCAAATAAAATACAAGTAGGTATAAAAAAATAAGAATATAATTAGAGATAACATAGAGATAGAAATAGAAATTGAGAGATATAAAAAAATATAGATAAAAAAGATACAGATAAAAAGATAGAGCTAAAATTAGAGATGGAGCTAAAATAGAGACAGATAAGAATATATTTATATAAGAATAGAAATAGGAATAAAATCGAGATAGAAATAGAGATAGAGCAAAAAATAGACAGCTAAAAATACATGTAGATAAAATTAGAGATGTAAATAGAGATGAAAATAGATATGAAAGGAGAGAGATGAAAAATAGAGATTAGAAATATAGATAAAGACAAATGAACATAGAAAGAGATTATGAATAGATATAGATATAGAAATAGAAATAGAGATAGTTATAGAGGTAGAGCATATGAATGAGATAGGGATAGATGGAATAGATAGGAATAGGAATAGATATAGGGATAGGATGGAGACCAGGAATAGAAATATAGATAGATAACCGACATGAATATAAATATAAATAGAGATGGAGATAGAAATAGGGACATAAATAGAGAGAGAGAGAGAAGAGAGAGATAAAGATAGAACATAGAGAAAGGAAGACCGGTATGGAAAAGCACTGGAAAAGCAAGGAAATTAGTCGCACCGACCTTACTTTCCTAACTTCATTTAGGGGTGGGGGGAAGGGGGGTGGTAAGGGGATTAAGGGCCTCCCGGGCCGACCTGCCGGAGATCAGACGAGCCAGGTCCATCGGTGGGTCCAGTGAGGCTGGGGGGAGTGGTTTTGTTTTGGGGGTGTGGGTGGGTGGGGGTGTGGGGTGTGGGGTGGTGGGGCGGGGTCGCGGCTGTAGGTGGGGTGGGTTGTGGTCGGGTGGGGGTGGGGTGGGTTGGTTGGAGTGCGAGTGGGGCTGAGGGGCGTGGGCGGCTGTTTGGGAGTGGTGGTGCGTGTTGGGTCCTGGTGGGGGTGTGGACGGTGGCGGGTGCGGGTGTTCTGGTGTGTCTTGTGGGGGTCGTGTAGCGGTGTGTGTGCGGTGTGCTGATGGGGTGCGGTGATGGGCGTAACGGTGGGTGTCGTCTGGGTGTGAGCGGTCGTCGGCGGATGGGGGTGACTTGGGGTGTACGGGTGAGTTGGGTGTCGCGGGTTGTGGACCTGTGGGGATGTTGGGTGGGGTGTGTGGGTGAGTGTGTGTGGGGGGGATGCACGGTTCTGTCTGTCTTTCTGGTCTATGCCCCGAGGCGAGAAAACCGAGGTCACTTTAATCCACTGCTTAATTCTTACTTATTCGATGCAATTCTATTTGTTCCAGACAATCTGGTGCCTAGTCATTATTTTATTTACCATCCGGCCCAT